AAGAAGGCTTGGTGATCCTCTTCCCGTGGTACCTGGTGTCTCTTCCTGGTTCTATTCGCCAAAATAGGTACTACCCCCGTTTCTCTTTCATCCTCCCCTTATAACATTTCACAGTTAAGAAAAATAGAATACAAGAAAAATCATTTAAGTCCACTAGTGTAGTTTAGGCACGCTGGCTTGAATCTCTATAGCTAACTTTTCAAGGGAACTAGAGATAAGTTCCGGTATTACAAGCCACTGTCACAAATTAGATAGCTTTCACTATACCTCTTATATAACAAAATTTACTTCAGAGTATAGTAAAATGTATTCAAAGAATAAATTTAATAAAGTATGGTAAATTTGGCTTGGCCATGGGTTTAAAAAAAAAAAAAAATTATAAAATCAATTTTGTTTTTTAATTTAATTTATAAATTAAATTAATTTTAGTTTTTAACTTATTTAATTATTAATTTAAATATATATTTTTAATTTAATAATATTATTTTGTTACTTTTAATTCAATATTAATATCTTTAAGTTTTATATAAAATTTTTTTGATAATTATTATTATTAAAATTTAAAAATTTTAGCATTAGTTTTATAAAATATTATTTTATATCTTAAAATATAATATATTTTTAAAAAACTTTATATATTTATTTTTTAAAAATAAAAAAAATTTTTTTTTAATATTATTTTATTATTTTGTTTTTTGTTTCAACTTAAACTTATTATTATTTTATTTAATTGGAATTGATATTTTTTTGGAGAGGTTTTTTTTATAGATGAATACACAACAATACAGATCTTTATTGATACTTTTGTATATGAAGATATATCAAGTATCTTTTACAATTAAAACAATTGTTTTTCTATATTGATTGTGTTTGATGACAGTTCTAACTGTAACTAATACTACTCTGTTTTGGAAAATAGCTTACTATTTATCTTAAACCCAACTATAAGAATTATATACCAAAGGTAAATTCAATATGTTGGGTGGGATTTCTATAAGGGAAAAATACTTATTACTAGTTTAAACTATATATGTGGTGTAAATTATTTTGCTGTTGACTCAATTGCCAAAATCCTTAAAAATAATTGCATCTGACTCAATTATTTTATATGTTTTAATAGTGACTCAATTAATTGCGTCAAATAATTGTGTCAATTGTGTCAAGGATTTACCAATTTCTACCACATGTATAGTTTAAACCACCTAACCTATAACCCATTTTCTGAAAGCTAATGTTTATTCCACAAAGGTTTGGTTATCAGATTTCTAAACACTTCGATACTTTTCGTTTGAATCTTCGAAGAGAATATTTGCTCCTTATTACTATCTGCAGCTTCAGTAGATCCTTTCTGAAGATCAACTTTTTTTAAGCAAGTGCTGGATTGGGATAGCTTCAAACTAGGAAATTCTGGAATAAGTTGAGATAAGGCTTATTGGATATAATATATGCAGAGGAATCTACATAACCTACATATGAAGTGACTTTATAATGATCATTATGCACCAATCGAATAACCATTATATTATAACACCTTAACGAAAGATCATAATCTCAATGCCTTATTGAATTGACATATGAATAACTTCTTATGAGAAACAGCATATAATTGGTTATAGTATCAGATACCATATTAATTCTATTCAATTGCCTTCATATAGAATTGAATTGATATTTTGGTATCTGACCTATAGAGTACTAATTACTGTATTATGGATCCACAGATCTTTTTTTTGGTTTTTTTTTTCAAATAAAGATTATTAATAGTATATATATTTTTATTGAGTTATTTATATTTAATTAAATAACTATAAAATTCATTTAAGTTAATCTATTTTCTTATTTATAGTCTTATTTAATTATATTAATTTGTTACTACAGAAATAAATCAATATATCAGATAAAATTTTTAGAGGATAAAAATTTTACTACTAGTTTTAAACTATCTAATCTAATTTAAATCTTAATGGTTATTATTTAAAGCATATATTTTTTAAAATTGATTAAAATATTTAAATAATCTGTTCAATACTTTTTACCTAGAATCTTAGAGAAGATATTATATTTTTTATTATTATCTATAGCTTTAAATTTTTCTTATGAAAATTATTTTCTTTTAAATAAGTATTAAATTAAAATAACTTTAGGCTAAAGTATTTTTTGTATTATAAAATCTGTTATATTAAAGAGATTATAAGTTTTTATTAAAATTAAATCAAAAGTTTTTTTTTATATAATCTTTTTTACTTTAATTTGTTTTTAATTTGCAATTGTTAAAAAGACCAAAGGTTCTATCTTTATATAGCTTAACTAAATTTAATTAAAATTAGATATTTGATTATAATATTTATAGGAAAATTAATAAATTCATAAATAAAAAATAAATTTTTTATATATTTTGTTTTTTATAAATATTGAATTAGAAATATATATTTGAAGATCAGGAAGTATTATTGCTATATTTAAAGATAGGTTTCTAAATTATTTAGTATATAAAATTTTGCAGATCAATTATATCTTTTTTGAAAGAATATAATTATTTATTCATTATTTTAATAAAAATATAATTAAAAAAACATTTGAACCAAGTAACTTAAATTGCAAAAAACTTTTGTAGATAATTTTTTTTTAATCTTATATTTAAAAAAAAACTTTTTTAATAGTGAGGAGTATTTAAATTATGTTTTTGTCTTTAATTTAGGGACTTATCTTTAACTATATTATTGATTTATTGATTTTGAAATTGAAACTTTCTATATTAGTTTATTTTTAATTTATTATTTTTATATAAGTAATTTTCCTATATTTTTAATATTTTTTCAATGATTTAATATTGTTTTTAATATTTTATTATATTTTATATTCAAATAAATTTATATGTAATATTAAAATCTTGTTTAAATTATTTTAATTCTTAAATCTAATTATTATAAAGTTTCTTTTTTTTTTTGTTTTGTTATTTGTTGAAATATATATTATTTTGATTTTGAAATTATTTAATGATTTTTATTATACAGTATGGCACAAAAGTTTTTGAACTAATATTTTTTAATGTAATTTAATAAATAATTATTTAACTTAGATAAAACTTTAAATATATATTTTTTATAATCTAATAATAAAAATATTCAAATTTTATTAATAGTTAATTAATAGTTTTATCATAAAAATATTGTTTTAAATAAAAAAAAAAAAAAAGTAAAAAATTATTGACAAAATTTTTTAAATAATTAACTACAAATCAAATATTAAAAACAAAAAAATTATTATTAAAGTTAATTAATATTATATATAATTTATTAAACAAGTATTAATAAAATTATAAAATAATTTTTTTTATAATTTTTTTATAAATTCAAAATTATTCTTTTTTGATTTTAATTTATCTTTTAAAAAAATTTTATCTAAAAAATCATAGTTTCCAACCATAATGCAATTAAAAAATCCAAGATAAATTTCAAAAAAGTAAAAAAAAGTTTTTATAAACAATTATTCTGAAATTCAATATATACAATATAAAAATATTCTTGTATTATCAAATTCTATTATGTTAATATCATTGTATACTTTATTCATTATGCTATTACGTGAATATATTATTTGAAAAAAATAGATTTGAGATATAAAAACTTTTTTATAAATTATAATTTTTTATTTTAACATATTTTTTAATTTAAAATATTTATTAATCAATATACTTTATATATCGTATATACAGTATAATAGATCAATATTTTATATAAAAGTAAAATTTAATTAATATACAGTATATCTTAATATAAATCTTTAACTATGACTATAAAAAACTTTATTTTAAATTTATTATACAATTAAATACTATACATATTCTTTCATGATTATATAATGATAATTTTTAAAAACTTGATTAGACATTCATTATTTATATAAACTTTTTTTTATTAATAAACATAATCTTGAAATAGAAATCCTTTGAGTGTTAATTTGAACAAAGATTTCTATTTCGTAGATTCTCGCCCAAATAAGAATAACTAATGTACATTTTCATAATTTAGAACAATTACAAATTACACGAAATAAGAATATAAAAGGAGTTCTATCTCGAGCTCGCTTGAGCAATATATGCGTCCAATTCTTGTGCGATAATATGATTAGTGCATTTACTTCGTATTTCTCTGTTGCAAGATACGTGTATGCGAATAAGAAATTTGAAGTTGGAAATAATAATAATAATAAAAAGCAGACAGAAAATTCACCTTAATAGCTGAATATCTTTTAATAAGAGTGCTTCCTGACCCGCAGCCTTAAAGTCACCAATCTTTATGTACAACCCAGGCCTTACTGCAGGTTCGCAATTTTTAATATATTTGGCCGCCTCTCGTTGCTGCATTGCCTTAATACATTCTTCAACAAATGGCTTCGATTAAAAAGTTCTCGTTAATAATATACAATTACAAGTACAAAAACACACACAGTATAGATTAAGCATTACTTCGTATCCAATAGGAGATTTTTTGGACTTTGCAAATTTGTCCAATTCATCCCAACCTCTCATTTCAACCAGAGCTTTCAATTTAATCCACCAAAACCTGTTCGATATTTTTCGTCAAACCAAAAATGAAAATGCATGCATGTGGACTACTTTTAAAATGAAAGATAAACCAACCGCTTATCGGGAACCTTGAAGTCGGATTTAAGTTTGCTCGCTTTGCTGGAATTATTTAAAATAATGCATTTATGAATTGTTTCACTCAAAGACAAACCAACTAAAGGTTGCTCCAATTCTTTTTCCAGTTGACTTTGGACTTGTAGCAATCTTATGTTTTCGTCGATGGCCTAGATTATAATCTTTTTAAAAATAGTTTTGCTTGTTGAAGCTTAATAAACTATCCAAGTTATATATAATGTACCTTAGCTTCGAAAGCATGTTCTTTGTCATCTTGATACCGTTTAAGAGCTACTTTCAACTTGTTAATTCTTTCCTCCAAACTCTTAAAAAACAGATAAATATAAATATTTCATTCGGAAGTAATGATAGTAATCATACTTAAAATACTGACGCCAAAATCTCACCTTTTGTTCGTAACTCTCTAATATTGCCATACTGGCCATTTCCACTCGCCTATCATCCTGATAATAGAAATCATCCAAGAGTTTCAAATCTTGTTGTTTACAATACACTTCGAGTAATTTGCACGCCATGGGCTTGTTGCTGATGATTCTGAAAAATTCTCCCAATGGAAGCTTCTTCTTCAGATGAATGATAACATAATAAACTAATTCACACGTAAATTCAGATCAGTAGGTATATTGCAAATTATTATGGTTAACTTTACATGGTAGTTACCAACCCAAGTCTGTGTCACCACTCTCAATTGCTTTTATCAGAGCTAGTTCGTCCTCTTGCATACTTATTAACAATGGTACCTGATCGGCTGCGCGAGGCTCGTAATCAAGTAGCTAGTAAAAAAAGGAATATGATTCAATTTCAATTTTACGACGTACATCTTGTGCGCAATATTTCTAGATGTTAACGTAGGGCTTACCCTCGTCGCCAACTTAGGTTGGCCTACTTGATAAGCCGTTCTCGCTATCTCTGCATACGAGAGACCCGGTTTATTTGAAAGTTTATCCACTATCATTCTACAAATCGTTTCATCATCATCTTTTGATTTTTTAATCTACAGGAAATAAACACACAAATATATTCAATGGTCATAATAATGAGTAAGAAACGATTAGGTCTTAAATGAAGTATGATCATACCTTTGCACATGCCCAGTGGATAAGAACTCGATCAATTCTCATCTTCAAGTATTCGCAAATTCTTAGAGCAAGCAAATGATGGTGACGGTTTATCAATCGATCAATCAACACATCAGGTGTCAATCGTATGTACCTAATCGAATGAAACTTGTTCGTAAGTGTGACTCAACTCAAGTAAAACAACCACATAATAGATTATGCTTACTGTGTGTACGTGATTGGTATTCCGATTTCAAAATATCGTACAGAGTTCAGTACTCGCAACGTTTGGCACATGTTTACAAAGCGATCAGCGTTGTAAGTCTCCAGAAATGCTTTACCGAACGCTGCGGCTTTGAGCAAATTACGTTGCCAACTTTGATTAAATTCATGGCCAGCTGCTTCAATGCAGGAATTAACCGCATCGGTAAGTTCTGGACGAATATTTCTGATGTGGTCATCGGCTTTTGGATTTTTATTCTGAAAGAATTATTATTGTATGTTAGAGTACGAAAACCAATATTCTTTAATTCATCCAAATATCCTTACATCGAAATGTTCCAGAGCGTCAAATAACATGGCAGCGGGTGTGGTCGAACCAATCTTAAAAATTTCTTCCGTGACATCTTTAGGGATAGTCAAAGGATTCAATAATCGTTAATAAGTATGTCTTTTTTAAATAAAATTATAATAAAAAGATGATAACTAAACTTACTTGGAACTTTTTGCAGGAATTCGCATTTATCACTACTTATTACGCGAACGCCGTCCACTTCAGGAATCAGATAAATCGAGTAATCGTATGGATATTTAATGTAACCGCCAAATGGACCGATCATCAGAACAATTTGATCCCAATATAAAACCACAGAGTCAGTACCGCACCTAATTAGTGATATGAATGAGTAAATTATAATATCCTTGGGAAAATTTTTATAAATATAAATTTATAAGTTTGATTGATGCAGTACCATACTAATTGTTTAGGGGACGCCTGAGAATTAGTCGGAAACTCTGTGAAAATCTTTTGGAAATCGGTAGAAACGACCAAAAGTTTGCCGTCATTGGTAAAGAGCGCCAAGAATGCACCATTTGGGGAAACTGCCATCTTGGTAAAGGGACCTTGATTAAATGGCTAGGAGTGAAGTGTTAAAGGAAAAAAAAAAAAAAATCAGTTTAATTATATCCCGACCAAATCATCAATTATTTAGCCAAGGTAATGATGAACCTGTTCCTGGGACTCCTTGGCATCTACGGTTAAAATTGTTGAGCCAGTGGCTAAAAGAACTTCCACGTGTCGACTAAGAGTATACTGAGGTGGGATAACAGTCCAGCTATGAGGTGGGTCGTTCAAACCTTGTTATTAATAGAATTAAGACGAGAGTAAGAACAGTCTGGATGTGACTTCAGTAACGTATATAATGCTATTAAAACTTACCGGGATCGGCCATCATCAGAGGTCTTATCTCGTCAAAGTTGGTAAGGGCAATCAGCTTGAAATTACCAGTCAAGGCTACTAGACCAGTTCCCCAAATCTGACATTCAATAACAGAATGATCCTTGGCTTCCTATTTTAACATAAATCATAAATTAAAGCCCGAACATTTGACTGTACATATGGCATCCTCCTGTAGGGTGATTACTTACTTTTCCGAGGGAGAATTGACTGTAATCGCCATGAATATCATATAGTCTAACTGTACCATCTTCCAAAACAACTATCAATTGTTCTGTGTCTGTCCAGCCCATCGTCACAATGCGACCTTTGTCCCACTACAAGAAAATGTTGTTGTAAATTCAAAATTCTAATGAGGTTTATAGGATAGCGCAAAAGGATAACCGACTTGCAATTGCTCCATCAATTTTCCGGCAGACGTGTAAAGATATATAGTAGGCTTAACTGGCTGCTGTTTTTGTAACAGTAGCACCTTTTTATCATCACGAATCATTGCTATTAATTAAAAGGCAAAGAACTTGTTTTCACTAATTTGATCCAGGACCATAGATAAAAGATCTTTTGAGTACTAAGGTGAACACTAGCTTTCTCTGAATTAGCTTTGGCACAAAAGAAATGCCAATCAAATGAAATTTTTTGTACATACCTATTGGCCCACCATATGGTGCACCTGCGATCATGTACTTGGACAGATCCATGTGCTTCCATATCATGGTATAGATTTCTTGCTTCCTAGGGATAGCATGATTTAAGTCGGGATTCCTAAAGAAAAACTAGAAATAATTAGATTGTTACCTATAGAAGCGGTCCTGCAATTGAATCCAATCCGTTATTGGTTGCGGTGTCATGTTTTCTTGTAAATCTGGTGAACGTGGTTAACGACAATTTTTATGTCGTTCTACGTCATCATTTTCACGTGATATAAATTGACGCGTTCGCGATGTGAAAGTGTTTCTTACGCATTTTTCTTTAGCAAGGAGTTTTATTGGAATGAGTAATGCAAGGCCAATCTCGTCTATAAACTTGAATCCGAGCGTTCAGAAGAAGTTACGAGAAGCCGGCTACAAGACAGTTCAAGATTTAAAGGAGACCACACCAGTGTTATTGAGCAAAGGTATCTATTGATCTAATTGAAGATGGTGTAGTAAGATTTTTACTGAATAGTTCTCAATTGCCGCCTTGTAATCATTGAAGAATTGGACATATCGAATCAAGAAGCACAGATGATATTACAACAAGTAACAGAAAGTGGTGCGATGGTCTCACTCTTTTTCGCTTCGCAGTAAAGCTAAAGAGGTCATCTGAACATATGAACCTTTCTGATTCGCAGGTGAAAGGGTATCCTCGGTTTCTGTATCCGAAGTGGCGCAAAAACAAAAATTCATGATAACTACGTTCTGTCATGGTCTTGACATGTTAATTGGAGGAAGGGGAATTGCCTTAGGACAAATAACCGAGTTCTGTGGTGTTCCTGGCGTTGGTAAAACGCAACTTGGGTAATTGACAATCCTGTGCTCACATGGTGCTCACTATTTGCATCTGAAATTGTATTTGATGATGTTTTAAACAAAGAATTCAGCTCTCCGTCAACGTCCAAATACCTCGAAGCATGTCTGGCGCCGAGGGCGAAGCTATATATATTGGTACATGAAGATATCTTGGCATTCATTGTTAGCAGTTGCACCATAATGCTGTTAATTTGATTTTTACAAAGACACCGAGGGCAGCTTCATTGTTCAACGGGTCGTCGAAATAGCAAATGGAACAATAGAAAAGCTAAATGAATCTTCTGATGGAAAAAATGGTATGTTTTTTCGTTGACCAAAATCTCTTGCAACCAATCTAATCTGTTATTATCTTGGTGTTTACGAATTTCACATAATGCAGATTTACCCTTGGACCTCGAAACCGTTCTTTCACGGATTCATTATTTCAGGGCTCATGATTATATAGAGCTACTTGCCCTCATTAAAATCATGGATCAATTTCTGAAGGAGCATCGAACGGTACAATGAGTTAACAATAATTTTAACGCGAATAACATTCATTTGATAATTGATGTTTCATTCACGTTTCTTAAAAACAGGTTAAACTAATTGTCATAGATTCAATAGCGTTCCCTTTTCGACAAAATTTTAGCGACATGATGCTTCGAACCCGGTTACTGAATATGATAGCTCAAGATCTGGCGATTATAGCAGAATCTTTTGAAATCGCGGTATTTATTAAATAGTACTGATATTAGCGGCAATAGAGAAAAAAATTTTTATAACGCCCGGTCGTAGGTCGTTCTATTGAATCAAATGACCACAAGGTTCGGAAATTCGGGTAATTCAGATAAAGTGACTTTGGTTCCGGCGTTAGGTACGTGTGTCCCTCGTAAACCTGTAAATTTACGCACGCATTTACATATCCAATCTATATTTTTATGCCAGGTGACAGCTTCAATAACAAATGCCCAAACCAGATAATACTTTATTGGCGTGAGGATATGCGGTGAGTGGTACCCCGTCGGTTTACCATAATCTACGTTCAAGAATTCCGTATTTATTCGTTTTTAAAAAACAGGTTTGCACATTTGGTTAAATCTGCCAGTTCACAAGAAGCGACAGTGCAATATCAGATCACAGTACGTTAATAAAGTCTATCGGAAAATTTATGGGTTATCGTCATCTGCTAATAATGCTTGATTATCCAACATTAGACAAGTGGGATTCGTGATTGCCCTTCGAATTGGCCAATTCGAAAGCGCTATCGGGAGGACGATTAAATCGATTTGCTTGTTAAACTTTTGATTGCTGATTCTTAAATGCTTTTTTACTTTCAAAGAAGACAATCATGAGGGGATGAGAAAAAATTAATGACATACCCACAAACGAGAGGATGTCATAAAAATGGTGTTTTTTGTTTTATCTCTGATAATCTATGATATTTTGAATGAAAAAAATCTTATCAGAAAATCGATTCCTGTATACACGTAAATGTATGGTGTGCACATATCGCTGATCTTATAAATTCATCTTTTTCGCTGCCTTTTGTTGCGACTGTTATCACAATGTCAGACGACATAAAAACTCAACTCGCAGGAATAAAACACATAATCCTCGTGCTTTCCGGAAAAGGGGGCGTTGGCAAGAGCTCAATTACTACACAGCTTGCACTATGCCTCGTTCAGAATGACTTCAAAGTTGGAGTTCTCGACATTGATCTTACTGGACCAAGCATACCACGAATGCTAGGACTTGACAATAAGCAAGTTCACCAAGCCTCTTCGGGGTTGGTAGTTTTTTTTAGACGAATTCAGTTCAATGTTGGAAATGAAATTTTTTGGAAGCGCATTTAGAGTTCATTTATATTGATGTTGAAAAACGTGTCCTATTCATACAAGTTGGGTTCCCGTTTTTACAGATGAAAGCCAAAGACTTTGCTGCATGTCAATTGGATTCTTACTGCAGAATAAAAATGATTCGGTGGTTTGGCGAGGGCCGAAAAAGAATGGTTAGTGGTTTTTCACGGAATCAAAACCTTAATGCAATCAACTTATTAAACAAATGACAAATGCATGCAGCAATGGTCAAGCAATTTTTGTCCGACGTTTATTGGGGTGAATTGGATTTCCTGATCATCGACACACCTCCAGGTGAGAATGCATATATACGAAGGTACATGTGAGTAGATCATCATTGAACAATTTATTTGCAGGCACCTCGGACGAACATATTTCTGTTGCCGAATATCTAAAAGACGTCAACCCTGATGGCGCGGTCATTGTGACTACTCCACAGGTGACATGAGCATATAATACCATGACAATACAGACGATCATAACCCAAGAACATCTTTTGATATGAAAAATTTTTTTTTCTCCTATCAGGCTGTTGCGTTGGCCGACGTTCGAAAGGAATTGAATTTTTGCAAGAAGGTCAAGATACCAATACTAGGTGTTGTCGAAAACATGAGCGGATTTTTGTGTCCTCATTGTGAGGTTTGTCATTGTAATTAATATTTGACTAATATCTTGTACATAATGTTATCATTAACTCCGTTCTATGATTCAGGAATGCACAAATTTATTTTCCACGGGAGGTGGTGAAGCTATGGCAAAGGAATTCGGCGTGGAATTTCTCGGTAATTGTTAATTTTAGCTGTAAATTAAAAATTGATGGAAGAATTGGTTCAAAAGATTTTTTTTCTTTTTTTTTTGGTAGGACGCGTACCTATAGATCCATCGCTTACTGTAATGGTGGAGAAGCAGGATGATTTGCTCAAAAAATACGTTGAATCGAATTTGTATAAAGTGTTGAATGAGATCACCGATAAAATCGTAAAAAAGGTTTCTACATAAAATTTGCTGAATAACGGGAAATTAGGATATTGGGACTAATAACCGGCATTATAATACAACTTTGTAATAATAATAATAATAATAAAAAATAACAATAATAAAACCTAGGGTGCACAACGTGCTGTTTTTTAATGTAGGTCATGGGGTCCTCGGACTAGACCCTATTCTAATGTCATTGCCATAGAAATTTTTCTTGGGACAAGTAATTGAGAAACCATATTTCATTATATAAAGACAAGTTTCAACGATGACGACCACACAATACACATATACTATAAGAAACCTACGTTACAATGAGTGATAGAGAGACCTTTAGCAATGGCACCGAAGATGACTTGTCACTTCCCAAAGGTATTTTTAGTAACTTTAAAAGTGTTTTTCCGATAAGAGAGTATAGAATGTTCTGATTAAAAAGAAAAAAATTCTTCCGACTACCTTATTACTCTTTTTTTTTTTTTAAAAAAAAAAGCGACTGTCACAAAGCTCATTTCAGAAATGCTACCACCCGACATCAATTGCGCCAAAGACACTCGAGACTTGTTAATAGACTGCTGTGTGGGTAAGTAATAGAATTTTTCTTTTACAAGCTTGTTTTAGACAACAAAAGGTAACATGAAAATCCAAATGAAAACCCTTATTCTATTCGCCGTCCTCACCTTTTGCAAACACTTTTCCTAGAGTTTATTCATTTGATCGCTTCACAGGCAAATGACATTTGCGAAAAAGACGCAAAGAAAACCATTGCTGCGGAGCATGTCATTAATGCCCTTGAGGTATTTATAAATTAAATTTCCTGCTGCACTCGGGACAATCGTTAATGACAAAGTGTTTAACTAGAAGTGAATTCTGTTCGTTCTTAATCTACGATTTGTAGGAATTGGGCTTCGAGAGCTATTTGTCCGAAGTAAAAGAAGTATTTCAAGAACACAAAAAATTGCAAAAGGTATATTACACGTAATATATTCATTAAATTTTATTTATGGCGGTTGAATCTCGCTCAATTATTTCGCTATCGCTGTTTAATAGGATCGTGACAAGAAGAGTTCTCGATTGGAAAATTCTGGAATGTCAGAGGAAGAATTATTAAGGCAGCAAGAGCTCTTGTTCGAGCAATCTCGCCTTAAATACCAAGCACAACAACAATCTTAACCCTACATTGAGTCAACTAAACGAAGTATCTTGACATCGGGTCAACGTATGCTATTTATGGAATCCGACCGAATGTCATTATTTTGCATTTTTATCTTATTTCTTGCATTAGTTTATATCAAATTTTGTTTCCCTTGTTCTCACAATTATCACTTGGTGATCTGTTCTTCATTTGTAGTCAGGAATATCTGTGTATATACATATTGATAAAGAAGAACGGATCACGTGATTAGTAGTTGCACTCGGTTTAATATCTCTGAAGTGAATCATGTAAAAAAAAAAATGTGTAATGTGTAACAATAAAATAATGATACCAGGTTGTGAGGTCAATTTATAAAAGAATCATTATGATTTGAACAGAAAATGTTACTTCTCGAGGATCAAGTTTGGGCTGTATGATGGTGATCGCCATTCCATTGAACATAAGTCTTCGCCACGATTTGCGATTATCTCTGGTGCTTATTGCAACTATACTTCAATCAAAAAACCAGGGTTGTGTACACGACTCAGAGTTTAACTTGTGATAAAGCGACATTCTGAATGTGTTCCGATAGTTCTATTATGTTTCTTCAATCTAAATTAGAGTAATAATTTTATGTTACCTAATGATAGGCATTGTGCATGATGCGATGTTAAAAATAAATTCGAATCAAGATCTCAACGTTTTTTCATCATCAAAATGTCCCCTGGACTGGTTAAAACTGTACCGCGGTTGGTCTGTCTAAGGCCATTCGTTAGAACCGCCAATTTTCACGTCGGTAAGAGAAGAACAAATCCGTGTGTCATTTATATTTCATTAAAATATGACTGACCATAAAGTATTGTCATAATTAGGTCAGTTTCTTGTGCATATAATGAAAATCCACTAACATATGTTTAACTGTCGAGCGAATAGGTCGTATCAGTGCATTTCACACCACGAAACACCTTGGGGATGGTGCTTGTAAGAACTGTTTCAGGAGCTTTGTGAAAAATTCCAATTACTTCTTGTTAAAAGAACTAACCTCGAACGTTGTACACTCACTCACAAAGCTTTCATCAAGGGAAGTGTAAATGAGGCAACAAAATTCCCCCCAAAAGACAAAGTTTCAGGATCATATCATTGGGATTTTGAACGTCTTCTGTCAGTTTCTCTAATTCCCTTGACCGTTGCCTCCGTTATGAATGGAGCACACCCAATCACCGATCTTTGCCTCGGCGTCATTCTTCCAATTCATTGTCACGTTGGTTTTGACGCAGTTATCACCGATTATCTACCATCCCGCAGAACTCCGGTGCTAAACAAAATTTCGACTTGGGGCTTAAGGGCGACTACGTTGATCGTTCTTTACGGTTGCTACGAATTTAATACCAACGATGTGGGATTAACTGAGCTCGTCAAAAGAGTGTGGCACGCATGAAAGACGAATTATCACATTTCATTGGACGACAAAAAACGAACCATAGCAATAGTTTTTAAAAAATAGCGGATCATATATAGTGTTATAAATGAATATATGTTAATGAAAATTTTATATAAGATTTCTACGTAAAAAAAAATTATATGGTTTTTTTTGTTGAATGATGATTTTTTTTTTTTTTCGTTTCTAACTGATGAATCTTCCCTAAAGATGTCTGTCACATTAAACTATGCTTTAACGTGAACGTGCCAAATCAATCTTGCATAACCAAATATTACAATTCGATAACTCATTGCGAGAACGAGTTAAACGTTTGAAAAATCGGGGATCGGGATAAATA